TAAGGAACCTATATGTTTTTGGGGATTTTGAGTGCCTGTCTTTAAGCTCTTATCATGTGATGGCTCCGTTGGAGCGCTCCAGCTCGCCGCGCGGGCGGCTCGCTTTGGTTTGCGAGCCAAATCGGATGAATCTATAAATGATTCCATTGGCGCGTCTGGTAAGCCGACTAGGCTTCAAGAAGCGTGGGCGGTCGTGGTGGAGTGTTCCAGACGTTTTCAAATGGAAGGTGTCCAATCCCTAGATAGTAGTCAACCTGGGATGATGAATGGGATGATACTGATTGGTTTAACTAGTCTTTGGAAGAGCAGATTGTGTTCTTCTTCGTGCCTGCAGGCACGAACTCCAAGAGAAACGTATCTGCTTCGAAGTCACACCTTAAACTCCTCGCGTTTTTCGGAGTTTCGTTCAAGGCTGTTGGGGGAAGAAGAACCGCCGAACATGACCGATGCGACGAGGTCGGTCTCTTCCGGTCTCCGGTCCTTCACTCGGGTGAAACCGCCGAAGCCTCCGTTCCAGGTCGACATCATTGCTTTTCTCCGCTAAGGCTTTGGTCCATACGTGTTTCAGTAGACTACGGAAGTATTGTCAGTACACTAAATATGTTTGGAGTACTTATATATATAATTAGTCTATATTTTTTTATTACACCTCCGGGAAGAATTGTCTTTGGGTTTTGAACAGATCAACTCCTCTTTTGGTTGTAGTCAACTTGTTTGGGCATGGATCAAGAACCAAGGTGATCAAACATCCCCACACGTCACTCACCCACAGCTGTTGTTCGCCACCTTTCACCCCAAAATGACCCAACATGTATGTCTTGGGAACATCTTTAAGGTTTTTGCAACGTGGCAGACTCCTTTGCAGACAGACATCGTTTCATACCCGACTTTCCGTCCGCCAAGTTAGCTTGGAGCACAGGCGTTTTTGCGCCTTAATCCCTCCGTTCAGCACGCCATTTTGAGCGCAGAGCATTCCAGACTCAAAAGCCAAGGCGCTCGGAGCACGGACCATGGGACGATGGCAGTAAAGCTCCGGGTAGGGAATGAACAAGTCAGATTGTCTATGCGGGCTTACCAAAACACACCAGCACAGAAGCACCAAGCTTGGTGCTGGTGGGAGGACTGAACTTGGCCCAAGTGTGGCGGTCCCCTCCGACCAAAAAACACGTTGGACGGAGAGTGCAACTCTTTTCTGTTAGGGAGCACCAATGGCCTCACCGCATCTCACTGGAACCCTGTTAGCTGTTAGCTTCCAGCAACAAGTACTTGTGTATAAAGCACTGCATTGCCTGGAGTGCTTTGTCGTTTGTCTGTGCTGTTGAACGCACAATTTTGGGTGCCTGCTCTGGTTGTTTGACCAACCTGTGGTTTCCTTGGCATTATGTTTTTAATTCAGGTCCATACTACATACCAGCATGTTCAAGATGGAGCACTTGAGAAACTATACAGGTCATTACAGGTCGACGTGACCACCTGTTTGCCGGGGAGATGTATCGATTTGCGCATGTTCGAACTATTTGCCCAACTGGCTGATAATGAACTCAGATTCGGTGGTGAGGGTCGGTTTTAGGGGGTCCATATAACTATACAGCCTGATGATATGGTTGAAGCCTAAGGGATAGCTTTGTTAGACAATCCCAGATGGTCACTCCCTTTATATAGATGCAGTCCGTGTTCCTTCGAAACTTGCTGGATGCAAGTGATACAGGCAACGTGTGAAGGGAAATTCGCTTGACTGGTTGACATGGTCACCCTGAATTGTGGAAGGATACTGTAGTCACCCTCCAATTCCCATAACTTCTTTGAACACTTCAACGGCAACAACAGCTTTTGACAATGGCACCCTGTAATCACACGTAAAAACAAACCCTGATAATATGTAACAACTACCGAGTGCAGGTTGATCTACCCCTTGGATGTTTGGACCTAAGATGCGTGTATGGCAGTTCCAGGTATCTGGTAGCAGTTCTCTCGCCTTCAGCAACCGCTACCAGGCTGTGTCATCACAAGAATTTCTCAGCTGCGAATCGCGTTACCTATGGACCTATGGCTAGTCCGTAAGCCCAAACCAGAACACCAGCCGCAAACCTCTTTTTTCTTTACAGCCTGATCAGATCTAGCTGATTCTAGCTGCTAGCTGGTGTGAAATACAGCGATCTCTCGGTTATTTTCGTTGTTTTTTGTTCCGAGGAAAAAGGGGGACAACCAAGAAAGTGCTGGTCTCAAGCTGTTTTGTATCTATCTTTGAGAAGCAGTCAGCATATTATGCTTAGTGTGTGTTTGACCATTGACCCGATGGTGTTGGGAACGAATTGAATGATCCAATCGACCAAAATATCGGATGCAACACAGCATGGTCCAGTGAATAGCTCGTCCAAACCATGCAGTCAAACAGCCAGAGCAAATTTTGCGATTCTTCAGAGAGACACTGGGAGTTTCTCTCGCTCAAGGCAAGATGACGAAAACCAATAATTTGCCCAAGTGTCCAGATTGCCCCAGACGTGCGAGTTTCTAGAATTGACATGACTATTGACCATTGACCTGACATGACTATTGACCATTGCATGCTTGTTTGGGTCTCAGGTTCTGATGTCACAATTGTGATGTCACGTTTATTCCATCCGAAGCACCACATCCTCCCGCATTCCCCAGGTGATAAGAAGCAGTTTATGAACTTAGAAACCTCCTCCCATAAGTGCACATAGACGAAGATGAATCATGATGAATCCAAAGCACCATGATTCACTTTCGAGGCTGGGGCGTCCTTAGTTGAACCCATTCAATTGAACCCTAGATCAAAGCAAATTGAACTTTGTGTTGAACGCTCATCTTCGCCTATTTTTCGCAGAAGATGCTACGCCCTCCCGCAAACGCGGTTAGGCTGCATGTCAATTCGGTGGAGCAAGCTGCGGTACTTGACAGGCGCCCCGACAGTTAACCCCAAGAACAGCAGTGCAGCTGCAGTAACATCGAACTGCCTACTGCCTACACAGCCAAAGGAAGCTGACCACAATCTGCAATGGAGATTCATTTCGCATGGTCGTGCTGGGTTGCATGGAGATTTATTTTGTACAGCTAGTACTTCTGCCAAGTCATTGCGTCTTGGGAAGGCTAGTGCCAGCATGAATATCATTCCCATGTTGCCCACAGCATATGTACTCCAAAGGTTTGGTTCCAGTTAAGGGAGCATGTCTGGCCATGCGCGAATCAATGTGCCGATGCACTGACTTTCGGCAAGACTGGTGCCGGGCGACTCGTTCCGCTATGGGCACGGTTTGATTATGTTTTCATCGCTTGAGGTGAACACCATCCATGTGAGGTCTTTGTGATGGACATCATGTTCTTCTTCCTCCCAAAGGTTGCACATCTTGGCATTTATCATCATGTTCCGGGCAGATTTCAGGGTAGCTGGAAACTAGAGCCACCACAGCTAAGACATGCCGCGCGAGACTTTTGTTGGACGTTGTTTTCTCTCCCGGACGCCCAGATCAGGAGAGGTCAGTTTTGGTGCTGTGGCGCCAGCTCACTGTGCCGTAGTCCACCACAAGCCCACAGAGCAGGATCAGACGAGTCACGCCTACAGAGTGAATCAGCGTAGACACCACGAGTCCCCGGGGTCCCCTGAGTCAGAGGTCTGTAGAAAAGGAGGAGAAAACGGGAGTTTCGGGGGTCAAGACCCGCATCCCTTCAGGGGACAAAGATCCGGATTACGACATGTTTATACATGTTTGATATTGAATGGTTTGAGGAGGACATGTCGGGCTTCACGTTCCCCCCCCACAAAAAGGCGGGTGTCAGAGCAACCCCATAATATGTTTTTTTCGAGGAAACCGATGAAGAAATCGAAAGCACGCCGAATTCGTTTCTATTTTCATTTCGAGCTCGCCTGATCCAGCTCGCTGTCTTCCCGTGGTGGTTCGCTGCTCCAAGGTCTGCCCACACGGTGGTTGGGCCTTCAATCCCGGTTTCTGTTGCTGCGGGTGGTCGAAGGACTTCAGGCGATTCGTGTGCCGATGTCAGCGACATCACCGATGTCAAGCCGTAGATGTAAATGGGTTCATGGTTGCGGTTTAGAGTGTTTTCGTGTTCATGCATTGATTATTACTGTAGATGTTTTCATGTAAAATGAAACATGCAGAAGGCTTGAATATCTTTACAGCAAAGTATAATCATCAACCAGAGCTGTGGAATACGTACTTGGATGGCACTCGTGCCTGGATTGGCATAGTTGCAGACTCCCCGACAATCCTCCAAATCCTCAAAGTCTGCTGAAGTGAAGCAATATGAGAAGCCGAAGATCCAAAAGATGCGCGCTTGAGCATGCATCCAGAGTCGCACTGCCTGGATATAGACTTTGCCAAGGGGATGGCCCTATGTTTGATTCATGACAGGGCAAGTGGTTTGCTAGTTTCACTGAAAAAGTTGGATCAATTTGATTTAGTTCTGTTCAGAGTTGAGATCAATGTCAGATTGATCCCTTGATGAATCTGTTGAAACAATCGTCAGCCGATAGATTTCAGGATTGCTTTGAGGAAAGCCCCACTTTCTCAACACTGCTGGCTGAAATGAGTGTCTTTTTGTTGCTGCCAAGCGTGGCGCAGAGAAGCAGCGGTGTGATCATGGGCCATATAATCCTATATGCATTCCACATGTTGTTTTACACCTGTCGGTGACCACCGGCTGTCTTCACCCGTTGTTCGTCTTGCCCGACACCTGTCCGTTCTCCGCATTTGAGGTCTTTCAGCAGTCAGTCTCAGTCGAGACCCTGCGAGAGATCGCTGAAGGCCTTATGGAGGAATCCCAGGCACCGTGGCGGGCGTGGAGCGACCGGTCGACGTCCTGACGTCGTTTCTCCGTATGGCGGTGGACCGGTCGTGGAGGACCAATGGGCGTGGACGACCCTGTCGTTCGGCGAAAGATACGAAGGTTCAGGATGTATTGGAAGCCTCTCACATTCTCTTACAGTCAGAAACCGAGACTATCAGTTACTTTTGGCAACCAAAAAACTTAAGGTTCAAGCCTAACCCTGACATCCAAACATGCGACCGGGTCAAGGTGCGGCAAGGTGTTTTCTGACGGTGCATGTGTTGGGCCGCTCTAGAAATCAACAGCAGTCACACCTATAGAGGCTCCCTAGAGGCCTAGAGGTGATGTCTCGCCATGGCGATGCAAATTTTAGTTCTGCAGCCAAGTGGTGACAGTGAAAGCATGGTCCTTGACGTCATCCCAGAGATGACAGGCTGGGAGCGAAAGCCTATGCAGCAGATCCGAGAGGGAGACTTGGGATGAAGCTACTCCTAGGAACCACTGTGGAGATCATTGTCAGAGACTGCCAATTACTGGCCAATGATGTCAAGGTCTTGGACACAGGAATTGCTGCAGATACTGTTGTGAGCGTGGTCTTCAAGCCGAACATTGTGATATGTTCCAACAAAGATATGTTATCTGCAGTCTTGATGGTGTCATGTCCTCGGAACAGCTTGCGGTCGAAATCCCTAAGTGGCGAAACTGCCATTTGTGAAAACGCTTTCGCGAGTTGCCACATAACCCGGACTCAGTTGACCCTCTGACTCAGTGGCGACCGGACTCAGTGGCGAGTTGAGTCCACAAATTCCCGGACTCAGTGGCTCACAGTTTGGACATGAAGCCTTTTAAGTTGCAAGTCTTCGGCAACCGTCACAATCCCGCATCATTGACCCACATTGGGAATTGTGCCTTCATGCGCTGCGGATCCTTGACAAACTTGACCATCCCGGACTCAGTGACCGACATTTGAGATCATGCCTTTGGATATTAGGAATGGCGTCTTTGCACAGTGTATTTCTTTGGTGAACTTCAAGTTCACCAAAGAGCTACACCACATTGAGATTTGTGCCTTCAAGCATTGCAGCCCTTTGGTGAACTTGACCATCCCGGACTTTGTGGCGCACATTGGAGATCCTGCCTGTGACAGTTGCAGCTCTCTGGCAAACTTGACTATCCCACACTCAGTGACCCACATTGGGAATTGTGCCTTCATGCGATGCGGATCCTTGACAAACTTGACCACCCCAAAGTCAGCGACGCCCATTAGAGATTATACTTCTGATGGTTGCAAGTCTTTGATGAGCTTGAAAAACATCCCAGACTCTGTGGCGCACATTGAGAGTTATGCCTTTGCGGGTTGCAGCTAGGTGATGAGCTCTGACATTTGCAGTGATGAAAACAACATCCGGACTTGCTCTTGACTCGAACATGCAGCCCTAAGATCGGCTCCAGAAGGCGTCAAAGCAATTAGACAATGTGGGTGTCCGCATCGCATAAAAGCACCATCCATGTCTTCAGGAAGACGAAGGAGGGGCTAGCCAACCAGGGCTTGCTACCCAGGAGAAGTGGATCACCATTACCTTTTCTTGGGCATTGCTCTTCCCATTTAAAGTAAAGCAGAACGTTTGTGTGTTTGTTTTTCAGGTAAACGGCTCAGGCTGCGTCGGAAGCATTCTGAGATTGGTTGACGGCATCGTTTGACCATACCCTAGCCTCTCAAGAGCATAAAAAAATTGGTTGCCCTGGTTGTGTCGTGTAAAATCCTTAGTAAAACAATATAACGACCATCAGATCAATGGTGGTTGGATGCCGGCATAGTATCATAGGCATGGCATATGCGGCCGGCATATATGCGGCGTATACTTGTTGCCAACAAACAGGTGGGTCATCATGACCCCAGTCAGGTCACCAATGGCGCTGGGCGCTTGTCATCGCCGGTCATCTGGCAGTTTTGGGTCAGGTCGTCTTCACTGACTCTTGACCTAGCGATGTTGACCCAGCCATGCGCTCGATTGGTGAACGCCATCCACGAGATGGAACTCCGCCATGCGTCGACGCTTTTCAGGACAAAGAAAGGTGGTCCTTGAAAGCTGAGCAAGATCAGGCACCGTTGGCGTTTTGGGGGCGCGCCGAGCAGGTCCGAGCGGGAGCTGCGAGAGCAGTCCGTTGGTCCCGGTCGTACTGCACGGTTAGACACGCCACTGGATGGTTGACACGGGCTCAGGAAATGGTTGATGTTATGGATAAATCCATCATTAGAGGATAGCTGTAGGCCGGTCAACACCCCAAACAGATGGTCGATTTAGAAGTGAGATAGCTTTGGGATGAGGGTCAGATTGAAAGACCGAGCCTATTCCAGGTTTCAGAGGAAGCCAGCGGCCCAGATCTTGGAATGAGAAGCAGCTATGACGGTGAGTTGGTGCTAGTTGAGATTGAGACTGGCTAGCCTATAGAACACATCAGCATAGCTCAATAATTCATTAATAATTCGATACTCTGGGATGTTCATGCTGAACACGGCAACAAATCCATTTCGGAGGCACAGGAGGCAAATATATAGGCACACCGGCACAGCGGCACAGACCAGCGCCGAAACAAACCTGAGCTGATGGACCCGCTGATGGACCTGCAGGACTTCATCCGGAAATATCCCGAGCTGGTGGCGGAGTACAACGAGTGGCGCGGTGCCCTGGTGGGACCGGTGAGGTGGAAGCTGTGAGGTGGAAGCGCCCGGTTTTTGCGTGGTTTTTTAGGCCAGGGGAGGGGGGTCATGCAGGGTAAGGAATTGGCAGAATTTGTTGATATATGACAATATGTTGATATTATGGAGAATCATGGAGATTTCCCTGACCAAAAGATGCAGACAGTGGCACACCCTGTGCCGGCCAGCAAGGTTCCTTTCCTTTGTTTCGCTTTCGTGTGCTTTTACTTCAATGCATGGCCTGCTTGATGTCATGCCTCCTTTACCAGCAGTCTTGGGCCACACACGGCACATGCTGTCGCCATCGTGCCTAAAACATGCTATCTGCGCTTGCGCGCTCGCGCTTCCATTGACTTCGATGCTGACCCCTTCCGACCTCCCCCGGCACTTGGTGCCTTGCGCCACCCAGTGCCCATACTGTTTGGCGTCAGCTTGTTCGATGCTGAGACCACTGCGCGGAAACCATGCGTCACCCGCAATCGATTCGGCGCAATCGATCGACTGCGCGGATCGTCGAGGCTGGAAAGTCGAAAAGCCGAGGTGGTCAAGGCCGGAGGGCACCGGTGGGAAGGTCGAGGACGAGGGTCCGAAGTTGGAACGCGTCCGGTTCCGTCCCGGAAGTCTTTGCAAAGGTATGCGAAGGTACCATGGGAGTGTCTATTAATATAGCCCTAATTAGCTGTTAAGGGGTGTCCATTCACCACCCCTTGGAGGTGCTGGCATGCAAACATTTGACAGATTCCAAATTGACCAACGAAGCTCCAAGTGGAGACCGGTCCACACCAAGAAGCACGACGCCTTTCGGATGAGCTTGGCCGACTCCATGTGGTTCGCTTTGAGAAGATGATGCAGGTGCACGGGGAAGACCTGCATGTTCCCGGGTAAATCAACATAAATCAACAAGTTGGATCGGCTGGAGACCTGGATTTCTTCTTGAGACGTCGCCAGCTGGCACTGGATTTGCGTCGTTTTCAACGGAGAAGAAGGGTGCAACCACTGCCAGGCTGCTTGCTCCCAGCTTTGTTGGACACTGCGGAACTCCGACTTGAACAGGTGGCCTCCTTGAACTGCGGTCGCTCCTTGCGGAAACTGCATCGCTCCTGGTGCTTTCTGGAGTGATGCACGAAGGAAGACGGCCGGCTCGCACCCGAAGCTGCCGTCCACAGACTGGAGACCCAAGCCTGGACCAGAGAAAGAATCCCTACAGGTCCCAAGTCGCAGTAAACCTGGTAGTTTTTTTGTCTCGTTGAGTCGTTGAGCAATTTTTTTAGTAAAATTGTATGTTCAGACGGGACTGCTTACTCAGCTTGACACGTTTGTGGGCTGCTGTTGACACGTTCACTCCTGTGGCACAGTGGAGCTTTTGAAGAGCTGAAGCAATAGGTGGGCAAAACTCTCACACTGGCTCCCGGTCCTCCTGGCTTTCACCCTGGCTATAGATGGCTTGGGTTGGCATCCTCATTTCGTCCCAGCCGCTCAAGACTCCCAATGCGGATGAGGCTTTGGCTCTAAGATGTGGGATGGTACACACTGAAACAATCATGGAAGTGGAGAACCCATGAAAACCTTTGTTTGTCGTAGAGGAAATTGGGGATGGTAGATGTGGGCACGGTCAACGTGGGTGCGTGGCACATCATCACGTCCTAAGATCAGGACGAACTGAATCCACCAGTTCACAAAAGGCGGCAAGATCGCTGGCAGCCATCAAAACCTGCAAAAATCCTTGCATTGTGTCATGTTAAGTAGAAAGCGAGGGAGTATCATGAAATATCATATCATGAACATACGGAATATTTAGTTAATACTATAATCAAGATAATCCTAGTTATTATCCATTTGAGATCTTGGAACCCAAACAAGTCAATCCCGTTTCGAGAAGCGAACCCGGGTCCTGGGACCCGTTTCTCATCTCTCAGGGTGGCAAAGAAGGCGCCGGCATCGGCAACTGGTGGGTCGATGGTCAGGTCTCCACCCATTGAGATTGGCGGATATCTAGCATGATCCATCATAGGATATATATATTATATATACATATATACTCTAGCCTTCCGAGACCATTTAAAAAAATGGTTGAACTGGTTGTGTAGTGTAAAATCCTATAAGTAAAACAATGATGCTTCGGTCAAGGCTATTGAATCAATGGTGGGTGGAAGCCTATGGTATATCTATTTAAATGACATAAGTTGCAACTTCACATCACGGCTTACATCGCAGCCAAGATCCAAGTGTGACAGAGTCGCGGAAGGGTGCAGTTTGTCCAGCCAAATGAATGGAATATAAGTAATTTTACAAGCACCGCGTGGTTCGTGTCCAGGAGCTCAACATGTTGAATGATTTGCGTCATTGCAGTATCCGCTGACAAACAACGTCTTTTTTAAAATCTATTAATACACCATGTGTCATGTTTGGTGATTCCTCACAGCCAGATGTTCTTCTGACAGCCCTGAGTGGGGGGAGAACTTCTTCAGACATGCACCTCCAGGTGTATGTTTCAGGCAGGGCAACTCTTTTTGGTTCAACCGCACTTGGCCGGACAGAGGGTCCGGGGTTCTCCGGTTCGGATGAGTTGGGGAGAAGGAGGCTCCGGCTGTTTGGCCGAGCGTCTGTCTGGCCCACTCGTCAGTCTGGCCTTAGCTTCCCAGGAAAAGTGGGTCTCACCTGCCAAAACTGTTCAAATCCATGGTGGAAAGGTGTTCCATGGAACATGTGGTACACTCCGACTCACTAACATGGAAGTGGATGGCATGGCCCGATGGATGACTATATTCTTCTACAAACAGGTGGTTGTCCACTTCCATGTGATGTGTTCATGATGAGGGTCGTCTTCCTTTCAAATCGGTTTCAGTCGTTGTCTTTGCCCCTTTGAAACGAAGAGGTGGAGCGTTCGGTGCACGGTGACCGGGGGTGTGACGCCGGTCCAACGGTGCTCGGCAGCCGAACCGTCACTGTTCCTAAAGTGGATTGAGAGTAGAGGGCAAAATCCCCGAAAGGTGGCTTATATTTGGGCCCCCATCTAAAAGACATGTGCAATCTACTCTGAAACCACTGTAACATCACGTCCCAAGCAACGTGAATATGACCCGCCTTTTGTTTGCCTTGACTTTCAGAGTCAGACACCTCCACCCAAAGGCCAAGGCAGCGATTCTCACAACATCTCACAAAGGGCACCGCGCTTCGGAAGCACTGGATAGAACCCGACCCCGGCACATGCCCGTTGCGGCCAGGTGTGGCAAAGGGCACGACCTTGCAGGTGTGGGTGATTTGGGTGCGCAGTGTCACGGATATCACACACACACACTGCAATGATCATGGAAGTAGAACTGTAGAACACCACCTGTTTCTAGACCATGGTCATCCACGGGCAGGGCCATTTCCACTTCCATGATTCTGAGACTCATGAGAGGAACAATAAATGACTGACAACCATTTTCTGTGGTGGCTCCCTATCAAACACACGAAAATGGATGCACATTCTATTCCCAATCGACTTGGATGAAGCAGCCTGTCAGTTCTCTATATGTGTCGGGTGGAAACACATCAACTTCATGACCCCGCGTCCGCCCGTTCGATGAAGGGGGTGGGTGGGTCGGCAGCGCCGCGAGGGCTCGGGCTCGGCGTCCAGCTCAAGGCTTCGTGGCAAGCTGGTGCCAGAGGCTTCGTCAAGGATTTGGAGGATTTGCAGTGGTAGAGTCAGAGGTTTCTGGTTGACATGCAAACTACAGGCCTCTTTTGTTGACTTCCTGAAGTTTTGGTGGGTGTGTGTTCCTTAACTTTGCACAGCCGGCAAGATTAAGATGGAACCTATATTATACGATTTTTCTCTACGAACCCAGTGTTTGCTGGGTTCCACGTGAGTCTCTTATGCCCGGTCTCTTCCTGGGCATACGGTCTCCTGCGGGTGGTGGAAATCCACGGAGCGTTGTTCATGCCTCAGGAGACCTGAAAACATAGCCAAGACCTGCGCTCCCTTGCAGATCTTCACTGGAAGGTCCAAAGTCATGGGATCATGAGAGGTGCGCGAGTGCCTCTTGTCCGGGCCAAAGACGACGGAGGAGATGAAGAAGTGGGGAATCCCAAGAGTTACGACGTTACGTGGGGGTCAGTCCATGTGAGGCCCCTAGAGAGTTGATGATTGACCACCACTAAGGGTGATTTGTTCAGGTTCCGGTAGATTTGTAGGATGGACCATTGTGATTAGTGATTAGGGTTTGGGGGCCTCCTGAATCACTGAATGTACTCTGAAGATCTCTGAAGAGCATGATTCATGAATTTAGAATAATTTAAAGATGCAACCTGAATTTGGGGTGTCTGGAATCTAAAACCAGCTTGCTAAAGTGGATGGGGTAGAGATATCCAGCTTTTGATATAGCTTTTGGTAATTATAGAAGTGTTTGCTTCTCCTTCTCCTTTCAATTCAATTTCAACAAATAACATGGATGATCTGGCCTGCCGATACACCCTTTGGAATCGCATGCCAGATCTACAATTGGATGGTAGTTCTTTTATGAGCATTAAACTCCCCAATCATACTATGTTATACTCTATGTTATATGATATATATATATACATAATTGTACATATATTTATTGGATTTTTATTTATGAATGATATGGTCCGTTTATTTTCATCTACAAAAAAGCAAAGTAACTATTAAGAGTAAAATACATGGTTGTGTATGTTTTTGTTCGTCGTTTCCATTGACTTTAATATGAAACATCTCTAATACTGATTAAAATCCATGGATGACATGAAAAATCATATGATGATGCCTGATGTCCCTTCATATCCTTACAATTTTCAAAGGACCACATAAAATTGTAAGGCAGTGAGTGACCGAAATTAATCACAATTTCTCCTTTACTTTTGGTGAATGGACATCATATTTATCACATCTGTTGCCCCTATATTATCTTGCTCTCAGATAACTAGTGATTTCTTATAAGAGCAACATAATTCCTGCCC